CAGCCTGTCCAGGTCCCTCTGGATGGCAGATGTGCCAATTCCTATTAGCCACGGACTCAGCTCAGTACCATTCTGTGGATTGTTCTTCTGCAAGACCTCCCTCTTCTACTAAACAGACATTGGAATTTAAATAGAATTTAGGCTGTCTTGAGAGGGCTTTAACTCCCTACTAATCCACGTTCTGAAGGTTTTACTACCACTTCTGACGGGAGTCTGAAAGTCCCTCTGAAGCCTTCTTCCAACAGACCAACACTGATTACCAACACCAGGAACTGGACCTGATGATGTAACAAATTTGAAGATACTTTAAGGCAGCTTGTGACAAAAAAATCCAAACCAAATGACAACTTACCAGTGATTAAGCTGCTGACCTGAGACACCAACTGACTCGATTTTTCCAAAAGATGGCTTGCGTTGGGATCCACTTCTCTCCTCATCAAGCCCCGATGATCACTCTCCTGCTCCTCATAACTCAGTTTGGACGTGTTACCGTAACCAAAGTCAGGAAAAGACCTGGTCAGCTTCTGGCTGAAGTATCTTTGAACCTCATCCAGCTCACTCAAGTTTTTTCTGTAAGCAGTGGTAAAAAATTCAGTAAGAAAAAACCCACCAGACGGGTTCTGTTTGTATCATTCCCGACAACAGCAGGTAAATACGCAAATACAAGATGAAGGGTTAGCATTAAAAAATAGATCAGCAGGTAAGTGGTGAGGTTGCTCTGTCTAAGCAAGAGTATAAAACTCGGGAACAAATGTCGAATTAGCTAGGAAACTTCAGTTGGAAGTTAAAAAAAAGAGCTAGTTTTAAACTTACTTAATGCAGGGAGTTGGATTTGAGATGACCTCCCAACAGAAGTCATAAAGGCAAGAATATTAATTGACTTTATGACTGAGCTTGATAAAAATCTGAGGATTTCCACCTGCTTAAGATCTAAGGATTTTATGATATATTGCTTGTGGTAGCAGCGGAAGGGATGGAATGACTCAAAGTCTCTTTGGTGTTATATTCCTACAGACAATAAATTTTCTCCTCCCAAAGTTTATACCTGATTTAAGCCTAGAATCTAGTCAAAAGAAAAGTGCTTCTAGTGGGGAGAGAGAGGCATCCTGTTGGGAAAGGACATCCCGCTGTGAAAAGGCGCAGGGGCTCGTTCTGTCTATGCGAAAACCGCCTCAGAGGACTATTGGTTAATAGCGTGAGTTGTGTTATAGATGGACAAAGATGGACAAAGCAAAGAATTCTACGTGGATTTGCAAACACCGCTGTTGCTGTTCCCTTCAGAGACTCACAGCATTGCTGGAGCCTCAGTACTAAAGCAGGGCTGCCCCCCTAGTCCCTGCTTTTCCAATCTTGTCTCATCCTGCTGGAAATTACACTAATATCCCACTGATACCTTTTAATCAGTTATATATTTTCATTTTTATTTCCTTTTAAAATTGGATGCAGGAATTTTTCAGTTTCAAGCTCTGCTTTGCAAACCTAAGGCTTTGCATGAGCCCTGCTTTACCTGAGAGCAGTGAGAAGAGAAGCGCGTGACGACACCGATAACGTGTCCATCTTTGCCGCCCGGTTGGCGTTGCCTTCTGCTTGCTGCAGGGATTCGTGAAATCTGCGCACGTTCTGCATATGCTCTTCGTGACGAGGCGTGCGTGTTCCAGGGGGATTCATTTTGCTAGAAACAGGCCTATGTTTAACAAGAGAAAACAGGTTGAGATCTGACAGTCCTAGTCCCGGAATGTGCAATATTCCAGCATTTCACCAGCTGTCGTTCACCGGTCATGGACAAGGAGTTACAGCAAAATAAAGGGGATATACCAGTAATACTCTATTCTAACTTATTATCCTTATTAAAAATAAAAACAAACACAAATCTTATTCTTATAAAAGCCCGGAAGAAGTGTCTGCCAGTTTTAGCCATGGCATAGTATAAGTCCTAATACAGAAGGGTGTCAATGAAACAAATCAAGAAACATCAGTGAGAAGAAAAAAGAACATCTGGGTTTTGTGGAAAGGTGCCTGCCTCAGGATTTCTGTCTCCTGGGCCACCTCTCACTGGTAAAAGGCATTTCGTATAATCTTTAAGTCTAAAGAAACAGAAAGTTGGTATAATCTTTAAGTCTAAAGAAACAGAAAGACCTTTGGCAGGGCTTGTTATTTTCTCAGGTGGATTTTTGAGCCCTGAAAATATCAAAATGACCGACAGCCAGCGGACTTACGGCTTTCGAGAAGGAACACTGGCTTCCTTTGATGAGGTGTTCAACATTTGCTTGGAAAAGCTTGGAGCACTACTGGGAAATGTTGGAAAGCTGGGCTTCACCTAGAATAAAAACGAACACTGCACATGACCTTCCACAGCAAGAAAATAGAGAAATTAAAGTAGTATCACGCTGAGCTAAGAAACAAAAACTTAAGTTTTCTAAATAGCTTTAGATTTTCAAAGTATTTTCCAGCACTGAGCCAAAGTATCATTTAACAGGACTATGATTTCAGAAACATTTGTTAATTCCCCCCATGCTAACAAAGAATAAACTGATGGAAAGTAGGGTATAGGGGCTCCATGACACGTGTAAATCATACCCCAGCCTAACTGGAAAGTCTAATACAAACACAAGAAATGACAAATCTTATAGAAAAACAGATTTCTGCCAAATTAGAAATGTCCTAACCAACAGAAGGCTGGATTTACATGACATTTTTGGGCACCAGCTGCCATCCAAAGCAGCAAACAGAACAATGCCACGCTCCCAGACATCTGAAACGACAGAATATTTCCTAACAATAAAAAAAAACCCCAACACCCACAAAGCAACAACAGAGTGAAGCCACAAGAGGCTTCATGAGCTAGGTTTGAAGGAGTGCTGGAACTACTGCTGCCCTGCAGCTACCATGGAAACACAGAGCAGCGTTCTTAAACATGGAATTCAGTGTTCCTGGTATATTTACACAGGCTGATCCACTCCAGAACTCTGAATTTTCTACACTTGCTCGTTAATTCAAAATCCCCCAGCGTCAGGGCTGATTATTAGGACTCTAAGCAGATTAGATTAAGGAGGAAAATGAAACACGTACGGAAGAACTTGCTGGCTGGGTCCGGATCCTTGCCTGCCTTTGTTCTTTGAGATTACTGATGTTTTGAAGAGGGGAAATTGCTACTTTGATCTGCCCTCGGCACTGTCCACTGAAGTCGGTAATATTGTACCACCCGCACACGAGCTGGAAGCCAGAAAGAAGAGGAGAAAGGTCCACTGATGCAAATCCTAGCACTCGTTCGGTCTCTGGGGAAGAAGAATATAAAGCACGTATTAATTCAAACTGCATGGAAACGAAACGTTTTCAGGAATGCTAAAAATCAGTCAGTAATACAGCCCTTGAAATATGTCTAGACTTTACAGGGAAAGGTTATAAAACTCAAAAAATGTTTTAAAAGTGGAAAGCTCTCAGGAAATAAAGAGCAAGTAAAGACTGGAACAAAAAAAGTGGAAGAAACAGAAAACAGAGTTTAAGACAAGAAAAATGAGACTTAGTTTTGGTTGTTAACACGCTTCAAACTAAGAGAATGATGGTGTCTGGTTGAGAAGCAGGAAAAAATTGTTTCTAGCAATTAAAGCAGCTTCCCCCCTAGGGATTTGTCAAAATAGTTGTCGCTGTTGCAGTTGTTGATAACTTGAACACCGATGTTGGTCATAATTCACAGCAGGATGAGGGCCTGGCTGCAGGTGTAAGAAAGGACACGAGGGTTACGTACCCTGTGCAATACTTCATCAAAAAAACTATTTAAACAAGGGTTATAAAAAGGGGAAAATATTAATCTTGAAAGTGAGCTAGAAATAACTTGAAAAATAAAACCTGAAGGCCAATCTGGGGACCTCAGCAAATGCACTCCACCTCTGGAATTGCGTTTTCCCTTCAGTAACTCCCGTTTCTTCCCTTTTCGCTTTGCCAAAACTTTCAAAAAATGTTGATTTGTCATTTCACTGTTGCATTTTTGTGCAACATAATGTCTTTCCTATCTTGTAAATTTATCAGAAGTACAGAACAAACAGCCCTATCCAAGAAGAGATTATTTGGATTACCTTAGCTGTTACATTCAGCTAAAAATGTCCCTGCAGAGACAGGACACATGCCCTGTGGACACACAGCACTCTGCACAATACAGAGAAAGGCTGAGTTACCCAGGAAGTTTATTTTTTGAAGAAAAAAAAACAGACAGCTGAACACTAACATGTAAAAAGAAAGAAAAACCCCAGAATACAAACGAACCCAACCTCACCAGATGATTAATGGGGAAAAGGAGGATGTTAAAGGGCAGGAAATCAACGGGTATTTCTTTCAAAAATGTCTTTACAATTCCACTCTCCAATTTACTTAATGGAATTTACTTTATTTGTATTAAACACGAGTCACCTGAGGAAAGGGATGCAGAAAAGACACTCCTCTCAATACTGCACCACAAACTTTACCTGCTTTATGCCACACTTTGAAGACCAAGGTTTGCTGTGGATCCAGCAGAAGCTCTTTGGATATTCTGTTAAGAACAAAAAGAATAATATTTTACGCAAAGTAGAAAAAAGAACAAGAACAGGAAAATGCCTCTGAAGTTTCCATGCCATTGTAGCCATCCTGACAAATCAATTTCTTTCTGGAATGATGGGCAGGGGGGAATACAACAAATCCCCAAATTATTGAGCCCTCAAAAGCAGAACTATTTTGGGCTTTTGTTTATTCAAGAAGTATTTCCCTCTCCTTGCTCTTGTTGTAAATTTATAAGATAAGACAATAAAACCATGAAGAAATGGAAATACAGTTTATATCGTGACCCAGTAATACAGTGACAAAAAGCACTGGGGTTGTGGTTGAAAGCTGGAACGTTTGAAGCTGATTTCTGGAAAAAAAAAAAAACAACTGAAAATTTGTTTTGAAAAAAAAAAGTTAGAAAAAGTGTTAAATGTGGAACAGATTTTAAGTCACTTGAAGCTTAAGTTGCAACAATTAAACAGATTTTTAAGTGGCTCAGACATAAGTCTGAGCATAAGCAACCTCCAGAACAAAACTTTTAAACTTCAGCGATCAGTTTTTCAATGGTTTCATCTTCATATTACCTATTCCCCAAAGCCAAAAGCCAGCTCAGCAGTCTGCCAGAAAGCCAGGCACTGGTACATATTTGTCTGTGTTTTGGACGGACAAAATAAATTAATATGATTCTTTGTTGCCTGTAAAAGACCTGTTCCACCTGGTTTGGAAAACACCTTTGGCTTCAGAATTGATTTAAAATCTGGTACAGAAACACCGGGGAGACCACAAGATTGCAAACTCAGGTTTATTTCTGAATATTATCACCAATGACTGGATCTGCTGCGGTTCCTTGGGGTGGTCAATTCATCTGCTCTAATTTAGGCTCAGATATTTAAGTCTGAGCTATGTCCCTACAGAATCTGGCAGTCACTGGAGAGAAACAAGCATCCTTAGGGAATTTTGTCCTAAGCTGGGTCCCTAACACAGGCCGGGTGACTCACTGGAGGTGCCTGCGTCTCTCCAGTGACTGCTGAGGAATCCAATGAATCTCAGAAACCTAAATTCCCGACATTTTAAATTATAGTAGGTGAATCCAAACTTAGAGCTCTGGTCCTGAACCAGGGCAGAATTTCTAAGCATGAAACAAAGTAAAACGTACAGAAAAAGCCAATAAATTGGATCAAGTCTTACTTAACCTTGCCAAGAGTCTTTTAGCAATTAGCAGCCCCTTCCTCTAGACGGGAGAACTACAGATGAGTGGAAACAGACTGACTCACCCAAGGTCTGAAGCCAAAATGTAACTCAGCCAAGCTTCAGCATGGGTCAAACTGCCCCTCCTCACGTTAGCTTTAAGACCAAGCCTCTTCAAACAATTTTTCAACTAATACACGCACACAGTGATTGTAAAACATGGAAACAAGCGTTTTTAGCTGAGAATATAGGTCTGGTAAGTAGAAAAGCATCCCCTCCCAGCTGAATACGTCCTTTTCACACCTAGGCTGGCTGTCAGATCCAAAGGGTGGCTGTGCGAGTCCACGGCGCTTACCTGGCTTGTTGTTGGAAATCCCAGACGGGTGAGTCCGTGTTTTCTATGACCGGAGTGGTTATTGGAGCATCTGCACCAGCCACAGCAAAGGATACACAGCTACTGGGTGCTGCTACTTCACGTTCTGTCAAAGGACTCCCTAAAATGATACAGAATTAAATACAGATTTGTTATGAATAATTTAAAAAAAAAATCTAAAGGCAGTTCAGCTATTAAAAAGAGATAATTAACAAAGAAATCCACCATCTAGGAAATACTCCTTTTCATTAGTGGAGTTGAAATTTATAAATTTCCTCCCCTTGTAAATATAAATTTTATTTATAGGAAATATTAAATGAACCTTTTGCGGAGCAGAAATTGGAATATTCAAGGGAGAAACAGAAAAACTCATTTGCCCAAGATCGTCTGAGAAGTCAGAGGCAAAGCTAGGAATAAAACCAAGAACCCTGTTCCAGTGCTCGATCTACCTTCCATGCTGGACCACAAGAGTTTGGCAATCCTTGCTGCAAACATAGAAAAAAATCCAGCGTTACAAAAGGCAGTTTGACTTAAAAGCTGGATTGCTAAGAGGAAGCTCACTTCTCTTGACTGAATAAGAAAACACATACCCAGTGTTAACGATACCTGAAGATTAATAAACTTTTTTCCTAGCCTCTATTAGTTCATCTCAAAAAAGACTGAAATAGTTGGAGAAACTGAACATTCCTGCAAGGCAGAAACAAGTACCACCTTCATGTGTTATGAGGGTTTAGATATAGAGGAAAAAGCAGTTTCTACAAGTTTATTTCAAATTCTTGCGTTTTCTCCCTAATTCATCCTGAAATCCATCCTGAAATAACCTGGGAAAAGGTTTGTGAGAAAACAGACAATGAATTAACGAGTCTGACTTAATTGGATAAGTTTGCACTTAGAGGCAGATAGTTTCTCGTCAGAGGAACACAAGGTCAAATGAAAGGATGGAGCCAGATGTTGCCCAGCTCCTGCTGGATATTAGGGATCAGAGATTGTTGAATGAAAGATGCAGAAATCATACCATCACCTGCCCTGAATTATAGCCCAAAAAGGAGAGGAGATCCATCCCTGGAGGGGTTCAAGGCCAAGCTGGATGAGGCTTTGGGCAACCTGGGCTAGTGGGAGGTGTCCCTGCCCATGGCAGGGGGTGGCACTGGGTGGGCTTTAAGGTTCCTTCCCACCCAAACCCTTCTGTGATTCTATGTTTACAGCCTCTTCCCTTCTGTACATGGCCGTTCCTCCAGGCATGGACCCTCTTAAGTCATGTTCGCATTAGTGAGATTAATTTGCTGCAGTGTATCACGGCTTGTAAAGCTGTAGTAGCATTTTACTGCTTACAGAGCTGTTCAGATGGTGAATTTGTAGCTGGCAGAATCTGCTAGCAGAGATGGAGCTAGCCAAGGGGAAACAAGGTCAGAATTCGAAATCTGGAACAACGATTCCAGACTGCTTCCTCCTTTCTGCTTTCCAAGGACTCAGTGTGTGCCTTTGGATGTTACTGGCCACAATGATCAAAACTGATGAGTATAAATCTGATTTAACTAAAAATAATTATTTTTTCTCCAAAAGTCTGATTCTCCATGAAAATACAATGAAACGTGACTGATTTGCAGTAGCTTACCGCGTTGCTGCTCATTGATGCTTGACCATGAGGATTTATTTGCTAAAGAACAAGATTTATTTTTAAAAAAAAAAACAAACCTGCCACACAAAGCTCTTTGCAGTTTGGTAAGACTGTAGATATGACAATTCAAAGGCAAACGCGAGCTCAGCTTAGAGAAATAAGCAAGACCTGCCCAGACTGGCTCACCATCTCCTGCATGTAAAGGCAGATTTAAAATCAGTCTTTGTAGTCAAAGGCAAACCCAGCATTTCTCAAGTGTTAGCTTGCTTTTTTTTTCTAGGAAAAGCCTGTAAACAGAAAGAATTGTTGGCTCTAATAAGAAAGCTCAGCCAAAATCAAAGAGTCTGATTTAGCCTAGCAACTCCCAATGCCCCAACTTTGCAACTTCTTTTCTTTATATTATTTGGAAGATGAAGAAAACAGGAAAATTGAGTTTAGATCATGAGAAATATGAAGAGGCTTGGGGAAACATTTTGTGTCTTCACTCAGTTTCTGAAAATTGTGTATCTTAAGGAATTCTTTAAAAATTGCTGGAAATTTATAATCCATAACATACTGGTCTGGAAATGTATCCCAGCCTTTTTTATAAAAAAGCATCTGTGGGGCTCAAAATATATCAGAATTATTTACACTTAAGTCATGGCTTATATTTTACTCTTTTCGTTGTGTTATCACGCCATAAAATGCTGAGTGTTCGTCTCTGGCATATCAGATGGACCGTGAAACACTTGATCTTAACAGAGATGTTTCCAGTAAACTCATGTCAGGTCAAATCCTTATTTGTATTTGTTTTTAGGTAGCCTGCAATGGCGCAAACAAAATCAGATCACTCCAAGATCACAAAATGATCAAGTCCTGCAGGGCCAGGGGTGCCCCAGGTGAAGGGCAGAGCACCTGATGTGTTTTAAAGGTTTGAATTTATTTTTAACAGATTAATTTCCAGACTGCAACTTGAGGGAGAAACAAAAGGCTCCAAAAAATCTGCGAATTAACCAAGTGAAATCACCTGCTAGGAAAGAATATTTTAATATGTTTAGCATCAATTTAAAAGCGAAGAGCAATTCTTTAGTGAACCTCAGTGTAGCGACGAGCCACTGAACTGTACTTCCCACTCTGCGCCAAGCCTGGGTGAGCTCAGACTGCTCTGTCCTTACACTGCCCTTCCTCGCTGCTGCGGCTGCCGGTCTCCAGATAGCATGGCTAAGCCAGCTTTACAAACTGATTCGATGCTAAAAATGCAAATTTGACAGTCTTTGAGATATGAGTGTCTTGGGGGGGTTAAGTTATTCAGATAAGGCTTAACTTCAGAATTCAGCTGTCATCTGTAACATTGAACATTAGATTATTTATAGTTTGGATTTTATTTACAGAGATAGGTTGAATAGTTTAACCTCCTGCTTCCCCTGTACTTATAGAATGATGCAATGCTCTTGGGGTTGTAACACTACGAGGCCAAGCTCAAAACCCATCATATCGCTTCAACTGTCCCAGAATAAGTTCGAGGATTTGGTTTTTAAATTGTTCCATGCAGTACCTGTTACGAACAGATCCCAGGAAAAAAAAAAAAAAAAGAAAAAAAAGGGAAAAAAAGGAAGAGAGGAAGGGAGGAAGGGAGGAAAAAAGAGGGAGGAAAAAAGAGGGAGGAAAAAAGAGGGAAAAAGGAAAAAAAAAGGGTAGTGGCAGTGATGCTACCTTTTAAACTCAGATGCATTGCTCTTTCCACAAGGATATTGACAGCAACAGTGTTTTCCAGAAATATTGTGTCTTCTTCTTGGGGTTTGCCATCGGTGATTTCTGAACTTACGATATCCAGTTTCTGACTCTGATTTTCAGAGACCTGTTGGCTCAGATCAGGGGCTTTTTCTGTGCCTTCATCTTCGCTGTTGCTGTATTCCCCAGCACAGTGAAGTCTGCTGGGCAGAGCAGCAGAAGAGGAAGAAAGGACGATGTGAACGCGTACAGCGGCTCCTGCCAGGTTTGCAGCGTTGCATCTGAACAATGGATAAACCCCTGAAAGAGAATTTGTGAACAACCAGCTAAACCAGACAAAGAAAAACTAGCATCTTGGAAAACAGTCAATGCAGTTCATAGAATCACAGAATCATGAAGGCTGGAAAAGATCTCAAGGATCATCAAGTCCAACCACCAACCCACCACCACCTAACAGCCACTGTCGTTAACGACAGTAAAGATCTCACATCAGACCAGCAGAATGAATCTTGATTTTCAGTGGAATACAATGGATAATATTGATCACATAGGCAATGTGTTATCTTATGAATATATATCAATTTATAAAAGCTTTTGTTGTAGCACTTACAGAGCTTTGCTGTAACGCTTGCTGTGTAAAGGTAATCAGCAAAAAGATGTTAATTGTGTAACAGCAGCCACAATTAAAAAGGGATGTGCCCTATCACCACAGACAGTAAAAGAACGGGGCAAGTCGTGACGAGCTTTGTTGAGAGATACATCATCAAGATTACCAGATGCTTTTGTTCCTGTTATCTTTCTTCTCCTGTTCCAGCCAAACTCCAGACAGAAGCTAACAAGGAGAAAACCACATCAGATGGTTTTCACCATTTACGATATCAAGTTGTTTATTCAACTGTATAAAAGCGGGGAACATTTGCAGGGAAATATGGAAGCCTCATCTATAGGGTGGACGCACTGTACAGAGATTTCCCAATTGCCGGGAAGGGTTCTCCAAATCCTCGCTGCAACCGGGCTCCCCAGCGACTGCGGATCTGGATGATGGTAACGTATTTTAGGGCACTTGGTGATGGATCTTTCTGAATCACTGTCACTAACTCTATGATTAGGTGCATTACCTTCTTTTATGCTTGCCATAGTAGTTTGCTTATTATTTTGCTGCTTTACTTATCTTGCTTTAATTCATTTTCACTGTGTTATTTTCCTTATTTTGTCACTTTAAACATAAGTAAAAATAAGCTCTTTTTTTTTTTTTTTTTTAATTTGGTGCCTGTGTTCTTTGTGCTAACCCTGTCGACTAGCAAAACACCAGCACGTTGGTAGAAGCATCAGCTTGTAAAGGTTAAAAGAGCTAACCAACCCCCCAAATTTGGCACACCCTCATTTCCCCACTGGCAGCTCACATTACTATTTTAAAGCACATCAACTTCCTGAGAGTCCTGGGAATAGCGCGCCTGAATAATTTTCTATACATACATGGAGAATACAACACATACACAACAAAAAAAATTGTTTTAACTCTTGTTTCTTTTGCATTCCACACAAAAGAAGAGCCAACAGCCTGTCCACAAATCTGCCTGCAAGCCGGTGGCTGATGGATACCACGTAGATGACAGAACCCTAAGTGATCAAATAGAGCAGAAGTTTCCACCACCTTCTCAGTGCTTCGTCACTTCCTCCGACCGCAGGCATTCAGCCTCCTCAAGAGACATTATTCTTATTACTTCTCACTCTATTATGGTGCCCAGTCCGTAATTCTGAAGAAACATTCTTCATCAATCCACGGAGGCTAATTGCTCTCCCTATTACTGATCATTAATGTAAATTTTTCACCCATTTAAACTTGCTAAGTTTTGAATTCAGAGAAGCATTTTAACTTTTTTTATCTCCAGTGAAAATAGGAGTTGAGAGAGTGTTGCACACAGGACAAAAACGAGGAGGGGTTCAAGGCCAGGCTGGATGAGGCTTTGAGCAACCTGGGCTAGTGGGAGGTGTCCCTGCCCATGGCAGGGGGTGGAACAAGATGATCTTTAAGTTCCTTTCCAACCCAAACCGTTCTGTGATTCTATGATTCTATATTGTGCTTAAAGTGACTAGAGAAGTAACCAAACCAAAACATCAATAAAGAGGAATTAAATACGACAATGTTCTTTAGGAACTCACCACTAACACTTAGTGTTGACCTCGATCTCTCCGCTAACGCTGCGAGGTCGACATAGGCAGATCCGATAAGTCGATCTGTATCGAGTGGTCTTTCCACATCATCTTCTTTACCATACACCCACCACACCTGGATTTCTAATTTCTCCTCTCTGAAGAACCAAAGCAGTCCTTGGCTCCTTCTAAGAGTCACCTTCTTTGGTTTCTTAAAGTTCACTGTAACGTTTTTTGCGTCCTCACTCAATTTTGGCCTCCGAAGTGAGGTCCACGTGGCTTCCTGATCATATAGCTTATACCTGAGGTAGCAGAAAGTGCTTTTACTGAGGTGTGTCTGGCCTGCGAGCAGCACGCAGTGGACAGGCAGCCAAACTCTTGGCGTTGAGATGGTCACAGTCACTGGATCGGCGCTCTGCTCGCATTCGTCGCTGTCGTCCATGCTGTCTTCATGGCTCTCCTCGCTGCTCCATCCTAAGAGCTTCGCGGCCTCCAAGACACGTTCTCTGTCACCCTGCTGAGCAAAGGTGACAGAAAGTTCCAGTCCTCCCACAACAGCCTGCAGGATGCTTGTGCAGTGCGAGGGTGTGAAATCTTCGGAGAGGGTAACTGGGTACCAGCCTGTAATACCTTCAGGAGAAAAGATCGGCATTAGGCTTATCCTCCCTTTTAAAAACATCTGTAAAGAGTTTTCTGCTCTCTGGTCACTAGTCAAGTATTGGTACTAGAAGCGTTTACTTCTTCGGAAAGTTTGAAATCTGTCAAATGATTTCTAGCCTGAAAAAGCAGCAAATTGTTAGACATCAGAAAACCTCACCAGTAGTTCGGATCCCAAAGGCATTATAATTTTCATTTCATTAACGACACACATTTTACAGCAAAAATATATCCCATGAATCTCCAATGATAAAATGAGGCATTCTCAATTTTTTTTCCTGCTCTCTTCCCATTAAAAATAAACCGAGAGCTTCACACTGAAGAAAACAAGCACTATACTGAGATTAAAGCAGAAATAACCAAGCTGATAGTGAAAAATATTATTATTACAAGACACAATCATCACAGACTAACACTAGATAGAGGAGATATTTTATATTTAGTTTAAGAAAGGTTAATCCAACTGCTTTCTAACCTAAGTCTTTGGTTCCAGCTTTGACATCTCAAAAGCAATCATTGGTCCTCCACTGAACACTACAACTCTTGGACTTTCCCTCTTAAGACAGAAAATAAACAGCACTGAATAAAATACTAATTAATAATAATACTAATATTATTAATAAAATACTAATCAATAATAATACTTTTTCAGCTGCTATACATTCTACACCCTGAAAACCAATCTTCAAAAAACAACCCTCACATGAGTTTTCCAATACCAGGATTTTTAACAAAGACACGTGCAGTGTCAGAGAGAGCTTTGGTCTAAAAATTTTTTAAAAAGGGGGAATGAAATTTTTTTAAGCAATTACAAAATAATTTACACAGAACGTCAGCAGCATAATGCTGCTGTATTACCTGATCTTCTTCTCAGCAGGTCTATGGTTGGAATTGTGACTGTCCCAAGAAGGTAATCTCTTGATATCTGAGCTGCCAATGTCTCTGGGGCTGGAAAATAAATAAATCTGAAAATGCACCCAACTGGAACGCGAGATTTAAAAGTGATTCAGAGAGCACCTCCTTTGAAAGAAAGCTGTTTTGCTTTATGAAACTGAAAACACTTTTAACCCACAAAAAAAGGACAAGTCAAAACAAATGGCCCAGTACATATCAGGCCAAAATCCATGAGAAGCAGGGATGTGAACAAAAGCCGTCCGTAGGCATTGCCAGCACACATCCATGATGGGATACATGCTCCACCATTGAATTTGAAGAAACTTTTAGGGAATATTTCCATAAATGAGCATTAAGTAACCAGTGGGGAGCTTGTGTGGTAAGTTACCCTAAGAACATGCCACTCCCGACTTTCTCCCCCAGCAGTAAAAACCAATTAAATGTCCTCTTTAGGTAAATTTTGGCTATAAAATAATTCTCCAACATGTTGTTATGCTGTAAAAGAATACTGCCTATCGGCCACAGGATCACTGGAGGACTTTAAGCTATAATTTCCCTGAACCTCCATTACCTCATGATCTTGATCACCTGGGGTCTTAAAAACCCTAACTCTTTGCACAAGGGGAACAGTATCTCCCAAAGTATTCTCTGAAGACAGTTTAGGTAATTACATCTATTAGCAACTGCACAGAATTGTCTCTCTTCTAAAATAAAAATTAAGGGGTCTGGATCATTCTCCAACAGAATTCAGTCATTGTAATCGTCCTCCTTACCCGACTTGGTGCTCTGATGGTAGATAGAGAAGATGATTTTGGCAGACTGCAAGAGCTCCCCCAGACAAGCAGCTTCTCCGCTACTTTTCTGAATGACAAGGTTACAGGGAAACGCCACGTGGTGCTCGAACTCTGGGCAGAAGGTATGAGCCACAGCTCGCGTGCTGCGCCTCTCTGCCTCGGGTAGGAAGGAGAGGTGCACAGAGATGTAAGCGTTAACTCCCACACCTGCGTAATATTGGACTGAAGGGTTCTTTTGTGCCGCAGCTCTTCATTTAGTATGTAAAAAAGAAAAGAAGAAAGAGAATGAATCTAACGTACAAGGAATCTAGGAACCAACACAATGAAAGCAAAGGTTTGCAAGTGAAAAGATGGGACTAAAAAGTGAATGTTGTAAGTCAAAACAGATGCGGGTTCTGGCTGCAGATTATTTTTCACCATTTTTTTTTTACATCTGAACATAGCAGGAACAGATATGAAATGGTGAGAGTAATTATCCCAAGGTCCATCACTGGTGGCTGTGCTCTTATCATTGTCTGGATCTGAGACCAAAGTGGTTGAGAAAGTACTCAGCACCTTTAGAAATATTCCATACTGTAGAAAAAGCTGGAGGATAACTTCCCAGAGAACCTGCTCTAGAAGGGAGCAAAAGGCTAAGCCACATTATTTTCACAGACTAGTACTGACACGAAAAGGAGGTGAAATTAGCAGATGGAACTATTTACAAGTAAAACAGACCCAAGCATTACTCAGGTCATACACCTGAAGGATGAGAAGTCATTCCACTTTCTTAACTTCTCCAAGCACCATCTGGTAGTGATCCTCATCTTAGACTCTACTTGAATTAAGACAGATGAGGAGCTCAGCAGCACTGAGAGAGGGTCAGCGAGCACGGCTCTAGAACAACAGGAGCCATCCTTCCCTTATGGAATCGACTCCTTCTTTCTAGCCCTTTCTTAATTCTTGAAAATTGCATATTGGAACTAAGTTCAGGTGATATCGTGCACTTGGAGCAGCAGCCTTCTGGTGAAAAGGAACATGTTTCATTTACTAGTTAGTTTATTGATGTTTCCACAGTGAAATTCAAGAAAACAAATCTCAGCTAGCTTTTAAAAAGCACCAGTAACACCAAGATTCAGTGCCCAAATAGGTACTGTTTTGTATCAGCCGATTTTAATATTGGCCTTTGGTGTAGAAAAATGTGGAAATGTAGAAAAATGCGCCCTTACAATCTTGATCCTTCTGCAGAACGAATGCTACCACACTGTACTGCAGCTTAAGGGACAAAAATAACCACTGATGTTCTTTATAAAGTTATTTTCACTTCTGATCAGAACCCAGTTGGAATCTCAGTCTCTGCAGATGGAAAGTTGGCCAGATGCAATTTGTTCTAATCTAATGTCTCAGCCTGCTGCCTCCAGATAAAGCTATTTTAAGAGAGAAAAAAAAAAAATCTTCCTTTTTGAATTAGGCTTTACCTAGCTGCTGCTTGCAAGCCAGCTGCTCTGTGTATTCGTACAGAAAGAGAAACAGCTTGAGCAGTTCTTCCTGCTGCTGGTTTCACGGATCGTTGGTATCTGACGCTCACAGCAAGCAAGCCTGGAGTTGACGAAAGAAAGAAAGGAAAGAAATAGTCAGCCTCTTATTCAGTTAATCCAATATAATCAATACTTAGGTATACCTCTTAATACAAAATTTACTCTGTTAAGGCAAAAAAAAAAATTCCATTTGTAATTGTGCAAGATGGTGTACTTCAGCCAGAAGTTACAGCCCGACACAGGAGGCACAGAAGGAAATTTTAAAGACTGCATCCTGCAACCTGACCTACTAGCAGTCAGATCAGATGGTCTTAACGGCTCCTGCTTGTTGTCAAATTTATGGTGTAGTAAAACTAGGAGAGACTGTTTAACCCGCCCACGCCCTCACGCGAGTGTTCATTGTCATAGTTTTTAAATCTCCTACTGCAGTATTTCAACACCTCTTTTTTATAGCGCTGCAGTGACAAAATCTTCAGAGACACAGATTTTCTGCTGCATGGGGAAAAATATTGCGAAATAATTGAAGCATACTGAACTCCTTGTCCAGCCCTGGCTTTTTTAAACACCATTTCTTCCAAGAAGCTGCCTCAGATTTCCTCAGTGACCTTCCCAGAGCTGAGGTTTGTATTGTTTGAAAGAACCACAAGAGAAAGATGTCTCTACTCACACTACGTACCATGAACAGCCCTTCTTCATGTCTTCCATTCCCTACCTTCCACGGGAAGCTTAACTACAGACTGGGGCTTATTTGGCAGCTAAGCAGTTCACTATACAAGGAGGGCTCTCTAAAATTTGTTAAAGAGTTTGAGGGTTGCTCCTGTTTAACTACTGATTCTTCACTAGGTACGGTGACAGTGAAAGCTGGGAGGAAACATACTCATGGTTGATATCAGTTGCCAACAAAAATACATATTTTTATTTGTCTTGGAAGCAAATATATACTTTCATTTTTACATACAAAGTGAAAACACACAAGTCTTCCTCACCTGAAGACCGCAGATGAAATTCCTCTGAGGAATCAGTCCTGGGGACCAACGGAAGATTAAAAGTCTGTATCCCTATTTCTTCCCGATGCTGCATAGTCACCATGGCACACAGCCGGGACAAAGGCAAGGTCCCTTTGGCAACCATCTGGTCCCTGACATTTGGGTAATAATACCTGGTCAGACACAAAGAAGCGGCATCAGTCATGATGTTTTGATGATGATAAAATGATCATTATTCCTCTCCAGACTGTACAGAAGTCAATTTTAATTTGTGTGTCTTTGAACACTACAGTCAGTCTCCTGATGGCTAAGGGAGAACCTCAACTAAGTGAATTTCCACAGAAAGAAAAAAAGTGCTGATGTAGATAATGCTAAAAATGTACTTTTACACTTGTCATAGCCAGAAACACTACTAAAAATTGGTATCCCAAAGAAAACCAAGAGAAGGATCTGGCACCGAATATTCTCCGCTCTTGGTTTCCATTAATAAATACAAATGCTACATGCAGAACAGATTTGTGGAACCAGTTTGTAAGTGTAAAAAATTATTCTAGACTATTTCTTACTGTTCTACTTGGCTTCAGACTCATCCTCAAGCGAGTTTTGGTGCTGTATCTAACGAACAACATGTAGAGCAGGAGCAAGGCACCCACTGGGTTTTCAGCAGCAGTGACTAACATGGTAGTGTTGTAGATTTGTGTTTCCCCTTCCATTTTGGGACAAATCCTGAATGTTAAATGGCTGTTTGAGACTTGGGTAGAGCACTATCAGTGAGCAGTCAGGTCAAGATTAAATCAAGTCAAATCATCCTCAGGAAAACTCATCTAAAGCACATTTTTGAAATGCCAGGTGCTAATAATTGGTCACTTCAACTGCTCTGGTCATTACCAACATTCATGTCATAATTCTCACATGAACTTGCAAATTTTAAATAGCTTGGTTGTTTACTACAGAATTAACACATTATAGTTATTATAATTATGCTTTTCTAAAGCTACCTGTCTTCACGGTCTCTGCTTTCTGTTACTTGTAATTAGTAAGTTAATTTAAACTTACAAATATTTTATAGTATATTCTTTTGTACTTGGTGACTTGCATTAAGGAAAAAAATCTCCAAAGCAATGAAGGCTCACAGGTCTTAAATGCAATCTTAGATATTCATCACCAAATGCTGATGAGCTCACAATTTTTTTCACTATTAAATATCCATCCTGGAGATTTTTCACCGCCAGATACATCTCTACCTGTATTGCTGTGACATCTGCAAAGAACAGGATGTTATTCTGTACCTGCACCAGACTTCAAACTGAATTCCTCCTCCAGCCGCTCCTGGTGACATGAACGTGCTGACCAGGAGCGTGTGGACTGGGACATCAGCAGTAACCAACAAAGAGTGATGATGCTCATCATTAAAGACAGGATCAGGGACGCACAAAGTGGTTGCTGTGCGAAACGGCTTTAATTTCATACCTATGAGTCAAGCAAAGTTGGTTAAAAATTGTTGGATTTGTGGGTTTCAACCTTTTCGTATCTGTAGACCTTCAGGAGGCAGGATCCACGGACAGTCAGTTAAATCCTCCTGCCAGAAGGCTTGCTCCTCAGAGTTTCACTTCACAAATCTTTTATGAGCAATTCATACAGTCCCACGAACCTGGGGCCACAGGCTGAAAACCGTTAAATGTGGCTGGAAGCTGACATAGTCCCCAGGAGTTGTTAAGGAACAATGTTCCCGACTGTCATTTTTCCGAGGAAATATATATTAGTGATTCAAAGCACTCAAAGTCAACACTAAGTCCTTTTCTACAATTGCAGTTAGTTAAATATCCCATTATAATACAAATTATCTAAACCAGGCAAGTCTTTTCTCGGTGTATCCATGAAAATGAGCACCTTGAAAGGCTCGTGCATGTAAAGCCTTTGTTGAATTTAACTGTACATAATCTTAGTATTCCCTGTGAATCTGTTCTTGCATCTTTGCAGGATCAGTTTGTGACCTCCTCTAAGATTTTTAACAAAAAGATACCACATGAAGAGATTCAGAACTAGGTAACTTTTTTTTTGCTGGGAACTTGGCCGTCTGCCTCAGTCAAAGGAGGCTTTTAATTTTCTGATGCAGCCTAAGTAGATTTTCACACAGATTTTCCAAGGAAACCAAGCACTGGCTGCGTTACGGAAGCTCAGAGAAACACAAACCCTCTTACTTAAGCAGGGAAAACATCACTAAACATTATTTAACTAAATCAATGCTCTAAATAAAAGAAACATACCATCCTCATGCAATTCAGTTCCTTGCAGTGCACCACAACCAGCCTCTTGAACTGGGAAATAGTACTGGACGTAGCAGTCAGCCTCGCCCCAGACTGTGGACTGTAAGGGAGTGAGTCCTTTCACACCCTCCACGTGGATTTCAAACACATGCTCCATCAGGTCTTCCCCTTCTTGGTCTAACTGCTAACAAAACAAAGGAAATCCACATGGAAAGGACGACTCTTTAGGAAACAGCATACAGGAGGACTGGGAATGTAAAAATCTAAGAAGCTGGAGATGGGGGACAGAACCACTAGCTGCCATTTTCCTCCTAAAGTTCACAGAAACATCAAAAACCTGATAGTAATTTTTTTTTTTCTGCAAAAGCCAAAAAAAGACAGCACATAATAAGCATGAAAGTTCCAACACAGCCAACTCAAAGGTAGTGGCAAAACCTGTATGGTACAGAAAAAGGTTGTGAAAATTAAGATTTTCTATAATGTTGGGGGTTTTTTTACTGCATTTGTCATGTAGATAAAAGCAGTGGATATGCAGGGCAATAAAAAGGGGAATAATGTCCCGACTTGACGAGAAAAAACTGGTAAGAAGAGCACAAACAATACAATTCTGCGTAGAACGTGATCATTTATACCAAAATTGGCTACAGCATCAAAAGAAATTTGGGATCACCAGTCTGGTAATGAACCCGCTGGTAAAATCCTTTTGACCTAAGGGCAAGAAGGGGAATTTACTGAACGATACCATTGCAGGCTTTGCAGGAGGAGGGTCCAGAGCGTGGGAAGGGCGCTGTGTGACGGGAGGTACCATTCCTTCTTCATTTTTTAGCCTTTGCAGTGCCACGATTTGATCAGCCGAGCCCATCGCCAGAATAACTCTCAGGCTTCCACATCTGCTGCCAGTAAAAACATCGATCACAGGCATGTAGCTGTCCACAGCAACCACTGGATATTGAGCTTGAAGAAGCAGGTGGGAAATCTTTGGATCTCTAAAACAGAAAAAACCATGAGCCATCTGAATATGAACACGATCACATAAAGCTCATTTTAGATGGGACTTTCAATTAGAAACCAATCTATCTCCATTCCTCCGAAATCCACCTCAATTACGTTAGTCTTCACAAAGCACAGATCCATGAGTTATTTTCAGCAATGAGAAAGCACAGCTCTCTCCAAAAATTAACATGGCCTTAGCTATAAGCCAGCCTAGAAATGTGTGAGCGAGGTGATGAAGTGGAACAAGCCTCCTCTTAATATACTGCAGCGATATTATAGATGTATGAAGCAGTTCTGTGCCTTTGGGGATGGACTTGGGCAGGAAGAAAAGAAGAAACAGGGACAGTTTCCCAGGGAAATGTAAAAACCTTTAATACACTGAAGATATACACAAATAAACTACAGTGGATTACTGAAAAAAATATACAAATGCCACACTAATAATTAACAAAGTAGCGGCCAGTCAGTTCCAGCACCATCTGATTTCTACCTGTCACTAGTCTGACCAAAATAAAAGGAATAAACCCTAGACACCATCCTCCCTTTCTTTCTTTTATTTCCCAACCCAATAAAATATAGAAGAAAAAGAATTACTTGAATGAGATGTAAAACTGATGCAGAGGAAGTTTCACTAATCCCAGCAGTTTGTCAGAGCCAGGGCTTCCCAGCTTGTTCCATGCTTCGATAATCATGACGTTGTTCTTCAGCCGCTCCAAGTGCTTGGAAGTCAATGAAAAAGGCATCACCTGAAAGAGTTTCATGCGGAATTAGGACACAGAACGCACTGGAAGCTATTTGGAAAGTACAGAGCATTCTGGTAATGCTACATTACGGCAGTGTGCAGAATTGCGCTCTTTAGAAATGGAAATTTAAAATTAAATTCAGAAAATTGGTAGGTTTGGAAAAGAGCAAGCCAGGAAAATAAATGTAATTTAGATAAATTTTAACATAAGATCACAGGATATCTTAAAAAACATGGCTTTGATCTTTAAACACCTATTTATTAACCAACAGATAAATAATTTAATACAAACGTTTTAGATGGCTTTGGCTATGTTTTTACATTTCACTCTCAGCTGAAGACTAAGAAGTCTCACAGAGCACTAGGTGTTGTTAAAAGTAAATAAAATCTGAACATCCTGACATTTACAAGGCAAAAATGTCCATTAAAAAAAAAATCACAAACTCATTAAATGCCTGAAATTCTGCTGTTTGCCAGGGGAAAGCTCTGACTTTGAAATTTGTTTGTCAGTGTGGAATAGCCCATTTCAATCTGTGTTAAAACAGAAGATGTGGACTCGCCTGAGAAAAATTAAAGGCAGGTTGTGTTGTGCCCCAGATGACAGCAGATCTCGTCGCCTCCTCTGTGCTGAGCAGCTTGCAGATTAAATACACGTTACAAGAACCGCGGAGCCCATGGTCTTCAGCAACAAAATCCTTTCCATCAGGCACCATCAACAGCACATGCAGCAATAACCCGTCCTCTTCCGAAGCAGTTATTTGTGTCATCAGATTACGTACTACAGAGATTGGTACAGCCTGTGGTCCCAGCGCAATATTTCTGTCGGCTGCTCCCGCCTTCTGCGAGTCCTCACAGTTGTTAAATTTCAAGCAGCGAGGGCTTTCTGCATTTATACTCTTCCTGTTGAGCTCATGGAATTCCAGCCGGGGACTTCTGACAGCGTGAGCTGGGACTGGCTGCAGAGCCAGAGCTGACCTGGCCGCGGTGCGGGTGAAGTCTTTGTTGTCAGCCGCAAGCTCTAAGGATACCTGCGTTGTGCAAAGTAAAGCGGGATGATCAGAAGATGTGCCCTGTACAGAGAAAAGGGACTGCAACGCAAACTCAGGAAAATGTACGGTATGCTTTGCTCAAGAACTGTGTTAGGTCATCACCCAGAAGGCTGGTTACAAGCTACAACTGTCGCTGCAAAATAAACTGCATGTGGATTTATCAAATAAAGCCGTAACTCAAGTACAAACACACACAATTACAGCTGAATAAAGAGAAAAATGAAAAACAATCACAAAGCTGACTGAAAAATGAACACCTACCGAGCCAAGATGAAAAGTACTGTGCCAAAGGATCACAAATGTCATTTGCTCCTTGCGAATCTCTCTAAATGTTTTCTTTCACTCCTATGTTCCCTCCTGATTTTAGCTCTCCCTAACTCCTCACCCTTCTGTGGGGTCCTTCTTTTTCTATCCAATTGGCTACCTATTCCACTGTGTTTGTCTTCTTTTTTGCTGAGGTTAAGTTTTTTGGGTTTTGTTTTGGTTTTTAACGCTGTCCTACATCTGAATTGCCTCTTCATGTTGTCAAGATTTGGAAGAGAAATAGTTAGATTGGTATGAAAGAAAATGTGTGTGTGAAAGTGCTGAAAGAAATGCTAGAAAAAGGGTTAAAGGAATTGTAAGTGCTAATTTGCAAGTGTTAACTGCCACAGAGCTCATAGATCTGCTGGGTTCATTCACTTGATGAGAGAGCAAGAAAGGGAGGAACAAAAAGTCCAGAAGATATGGTAACAGGATAAAGAAAAGGACTGGAGCCACAAAATGACAAAATAAGGAAAACAAAACAATCAAACTCAAGAATTTTGCCTATGACTTAGGAATAACAAGACAAGATACTGTGGCAAAAGATCACAAACGGTATCTAATCCTAAAGGGTACAAAGAAAACATCCAAAGATGAGGAATTCAAGGCCACCTGTCAGAAAGAACACAAGAAACATGAAATGAACTCAATAGCTGACATCCCCTATCCTCCATGCCCTGGCCAGAACAGCTGGACATGCTTGTACAGCCTTCCAGTGCTGAAAGGGGGCTACAGGAGAGATGGGGGGGCTCTGGATCAGGGGGTGCAGGGACAGGACGAGGGGGAAGGGGTTGAAGCTGCAAGAGGGGAGATGGAGATGAGATGTGAGGAAGAAATGTTTTCCTGTGCGGGGGGTGAGGCAGTGGCCCAGGTTGCCCAGAGCAGCTGTGGATGCCCCATCCCTGGAGGGGGTCAAGGCCAGGCTGGATGAGGCTTTGGGCAACCTGGGCTGGTGGGAGGTGTCCCTGCCCATGGCAGGGGGTGGCACTGGATGGGCTTTAAGATCCCTTCCAACCCAAACCCTTCTGTGATTCTGTGTATCATACATGTATGCGCCTAACCTCTACATTTTATGTTTCACCCTTCTGCAGCTCCTCTGTCAGCAGCTTGGCTGAACGGCTTCTCTGGAAGATGTTTCACAGCCCCTACGACAGAGAACATCGCTCACCCTGTGAATTACAAAGTGACAGAAGCAATCCATGCTGATGTTCTCTGGGAATAATTCAGGAGCTCTGAATGTAAAATTCCCAAATACTCTTTTAACCTTTCACTGACTAATCTAGAGAACTCTTTATCCTCAGAATTTACAATCTCTCACACGTGCTGTGCAGGACTGCTAATCCTTTTCAAGCAGAAGTTGAGCGTGCTCGTAGAAACTCCAGCTGGAGAAGGTAACGTCTGAAGCGACAAGGTGTTGGGGAGCATCAGGCCCCTGTGTCAGGAAAGCCCTCACCTCATGTCATGTGTGGAGCAGAAGCCAAAGCTCCCAGCCCTGAACTCATGCCACTCAAAATCTGCCTGTAGAATGGTTTCTGTATCCAAGCCCTAGTTTATCGATCCTCAGTTAACCCTCAGACAGGGAAACTTCACATAGCAACATCCTTAGACTTGGAGGAGGTTCAAAATATTTCTCCAAAACCCTGAGGAAAAAAGAGGTTCGGGTTATCTTGTATTGGTCTTACAAACATTTACATCCAGGACCTGGCAAATTAAAACAGAGAGGGAAGAGAAAAAGGAGGAAAAGTCTAAAAAAGAGAGAATATCCAGCCAAAATTAGTAACAAGAGGTCATTTAACTCAAACTTTATATGATAAAACACATACCTTTAGTGGTCCAACTTGTGTCTGACCTTCCTCTTTTTCCACGGGTATTTCACAGCTGACAGCGAGCAGCTCAGACTGAATAATCTCATGTAACTGAAGTGCTGCTGAGCCAATGGCCACTGGCTGAGGGCAGAAAATGGATCAATTTTGCAAGATTTCTGTCAGGTTTAAAGAAGTAAGGGCATATTGTGAAACAAAAGCCTTCTGGGAAGATGTGGCCAGCCACTCACCCTCCCTACTCCTATACCATGAGTTTCACCAACGGGGATTTGCAGGAAGGTTTCCCTCAGTTCTAATTCCAAGTATCACTAGGACAACAATAAGGAAAATTCTCCCAAACACTTCCAGGTTCATGTAAAGATAAACATCCCAAATCCTAGTAACTGAACAAAATTTGCTTCCTTAAAGATGCAATTAATTCACCCATTACAAGAAAAACTCCCATTAGAACAGATGGGCAGATATCCTTGGTGTTGATTAAAACAAAACAAAAGCTGAGTTAACACTTCCCGCTGACTTCATCGCATGCAGATGATTATGCAAATATTTTTAGCCAGAAGAAAGATACTTTTTTTTTCCGCCTTCCAAATGCACAAGTTACATCAGTTTTTCACACCTCATATTATTCCCCTTACCGTGGTCAGAGTAACGTGATCAACCTCATCCCCATTAACTCACTCTACATTGCCAAATGAGCTGCGTTCTCATTGAAGACTAACGCTTGTAATCGATCGATCAGTTTTGAAGACGAGGGAAGGAGAATTTTTTTTTCCTGTCAGTCTCAAACTCAGAAAATCATTTAGTTGGGTGACAAGACTAAACAGTAATTAGTTGAACTCACAGTTATCTGCACATAATGTCACTTCCCTTCATAATATCTAGCAATGGTCAATTAAGAAATGGCTCAGTCAAGCCTCGTTGTCTGTTTTGGTTCTGATGTTTGCGCCGACAGCAGTTGCAATGAAGCATTGCAGAAGACTCAGAAAAGCCGCTGCTGTCTGTGTAAGTATTTAGAGGAAACAGAAATGCTTTTCAATACAGAAAGTATAAACAACTTTCAATCAGTACCTTTTTCTGTGTGCTTTTTCTCATGTGGATTTTAAAAACAAGGTTAGAGCTCCACCAGTGCTCTATCATCGTTCCACCAAAACGGACAGGGAACACAAACCGCTGCTGAAATTTCACCACTGCAAAGAAGACAGAGACTTGTGAGCTCTTAACTGAGCTAACCTGTCTTTCGAGATTGATCAGGAACAGAGAAAACTTCAGTCTCTGCAGAGAACGTGCAAAGTGAGACAGAAAATTCAAAAGGTATGAGTGGAAAGTGACGGGACTTCTGAGAAGGATGGACACATACACACAGAGCATTTGCACATCTGCCAGAATCAGAGCTCAAGCAAGGCTGGGAGCTGAACGGGGTGGAACCCTCAGAAGAATCTCTCGAGGTTTCAACCTATTAAATTATGTTACAACTCTGTAGGTAATTTACTTCTTTTTTTTTGTTGTTGTTGCTCACAGGAGCAACAAATATTCAAAATTAACTGAATACAAATGAACCTTCCTGTGGAGATTGCTCTGTTACACACAAAATCATTTAATTTTCCATTATTTATTAACACCAAGCCCAAAGTAAACTGTTAGTTGTTTTCCAAGGCCAATGAAAATAGCAGGAGGGCAGTACGACAAAATGAATATTTTAACAGCATCTAAAGGCTGCGGTTGATATCAAGTCCCTGTCACCCCAGCATGCAGTAAGACTTTCCCTTCTTCAGTGGGAGAACCCTGCCTCATTTTGAGCACTATATTTCAAGATGTATCTTGAGACAGTCAAAGCTGAGCTGCGAGAATAAATGGAGGTTCAGGAGGAAAGCTGCAAGAAAGAATGAATGAACCGGCGCTTACTCTAGAAAAGGAGAAGTACAGCAGTGTTGAAGCAGTATGCTTTCCTCATTCACAACGGATAAAAAGTACTTTTGTGATGACAAAAGCTCAGCTTAGACGTAAGGAAACTTTTCTAACAGGAAGCGCAGTACTTCTACAGCTTGCCTGGGCTGGCTATGGATTTTTCTCCCATTGGGCGCCTTCAATAAATGAGATGAACAGCTCTCACGAAAGATAACTGCACAGCAGATTGACTGGATGGCTTCTTCATATTATCTTCAGCCCTGTCTATTTTTCTAGGTTCCAAAGAGCCGGAATCTAACTACACAAGACAAAGTGCAGGAGCCTGTATTATTTTTGTATTACAAAGAGGTAAGGTTCAGAAAAATTAGATGTTTTGTCCGGCCACAAATGGAGAATACGCAAGAGAACACAGAATGACCCCCAGATCTCTCAAGTGCCACCTAGAAAGATGCAAAGCCACATGGGAGAGGCATTTGAAAGTCACCGTGGAATTCCAGTTTCTGGGAAGACTGGGCAGAAAGGATCTTGCTCATACAGCACTCTCTGCTCACTGAGGAGAGAAACGCGATAAATTGTCCTCAGGGATACGAACACTGGGGACTCTCAGTAAAGAGATTAAAGTCTACTGATTTGAGCACAGGATTCAAGATCTCTCGGACCCAGCAGACTCTCTGAGCTCTTGCAGATGACAGACTTCAGCATCTGGAAAAATAATTTATTTGAGGTATAAGTATCTCTGATATTTCTAAAAGCACTTTATCATCCTCATACTTCTGCAGAAAGGATATTGGATGTATGCTGAAATGAAGGAATGCGCTTATTGACCTGCCCTTATGTCCCTAGGAAAAGAAATTTGAGAATATTAATATAAATATTTGGAAGCAAAAAAAGAAAAAAATCAACCAAAAATCACTTCTTCTTCCTGAGAAAATCATTCCACTACCTGCAGCACAGCAACTCTGTTGGCAGAGGTGCCACTAATTACACTGTATCTTTCAAGCAGCAAGGAAAATACATAGAAAATACTACAACATAATTTCTAAGAGACGAAGGAATCAACAAACTAAATACAAGGGGGAAAAATAATGCTCTTACCATCATCTGTGATTTTACTTGAAGCTATTCGAGTTACTTCTGTTGTTATGGAGACCTGTCCTTTCTCATCCTTGGAGGCTCCCACAGGAAAGTGGTACTCAACAAAGAAGGTACTATGAATAAAAAAAGCGATGATCACAATCCATCAAAAATCTAACGTACAGAATGAAACTGAACGTAGCAGGCAAGTTTCATATTCAGAATTTATCGTTACTCTATTTTTAGAATTGGTCTACCTATCTTATGAATTCCTTCAACAGATTAGGAGTACGTTAGAATCTCTGCCAAAAAAAACCCCTTTTGTTTTCAACATACATGCACAAAGCGCATTTGTATCTCCCCAAAATCCAGAAAAAACACAGCCTGAACTGAGCCCACATCATATAAATTATGGATAAATTATAGATAAATTATGCACATCTCTAACATTCAGAAGTCTACAGTTGTCCTGGTTTGGGCTGGGACAGTGAACTCCCTCCCCAGCAGCTGGTGTGAGGCTGTGTTGGGGTTTGTGCTGAGGAGAAGCTGATCACACACTGATGGGCAGAGCTGCTGCCACGACAGTCAAGGACTTTCCAGCTTCTCTGCTGTGCCCATGTCTGCAGGGGCAGGAGGAGCTGGGAGGGAGCACAGCCCCAGTGACCAGCCCAGGATTCAACCTTAGGTTTAGGTCATTGAGACCCAAACTGGCCGATGGTCTGTTCCATCCCATGCCCGGCATGGCCAGGGGATAGGTGAGCATCTGTCTAGCTCTGGGTTGTCTCCCTCTGGGTCAGCCCTCTCTCATCTCAGTTTCTCGAACACTTGGGCTCTTATCTCCATTCCGGGATTGCGGTTTCAGGACTCTTGCTGCTCCAGGATCATTAGCCGGGAACAGG